CGCCTGCGGGGAAAGAGAAGATTTCTGGAGCATTTCAACTGCCTCGCCCATTGGCCACTGCCAGGAGGCTCTGCGCCTGTAACAAGGACGAGCTAAGGAGCTAGTGGCACTCAGGAGATCCTCACGGAACGTGCAAGTCAGTCTCTGTGTCTCATTCCCACTCCGTAAAACGGGGACAATAGCCCTGCCACACCAGGGTGCAGGCTGCTAAACTCACTAAGGACTGCGCGGTGCTCAGACACTGTGGTACGCCAGTGATACATCCGTGAGACTGCATAAAGGGTGTCCGAGATGCCATGCTAGGCACTGAGCAGGGAGCTATGCAAGGAAGTGACCAGCTTACACTGATGGTTGGAAAATTAACCCTGCACTCCGGAACAGAACATTCATGGGCCATGCCGTGCACACAGATCGATCCCCGCAGCCATGGATAGCATGTTCAGAGAGGGGAGGTGTCCTTTGTGGACAGCGCAGAGGCACCTGTGACATACGAATGGTACCTGCTGCCCACGCGCATTCTGCTTCCCGCTGCGCACGTGCTCCCACGTGGCACGGGCAGAGCTGGTCCTGCTGGCAGGGTTCTGCTGCTGGCCCAGGAGTAACCGGTCAGGGGAAGAGGGGTCTGTCTTTTCTTCTTGCATGTCCATTCCACTGCGGGTGCAGTTTGGCCAGCAGGAAGGTTTCAGAAGTGGGGGGAGGGATAGCTCAGTGGCTTGAGCATTGGCCTGCTAAACCGAGGGTTGAGGGGGCCATTTAGGGATCTGGGGCAAAATCTGTCAGGATGGTTCTTGGTCCTGCCACGCCGGTCAGGGGAAGAGGGGTCTGTCTTTTCTTCTTGCATGTCCATTCCACTGCGGGTGCAGTTTGGCCAGCAGGAAGGTTTCAGAAGTGGGGGGAGGGATAGCTCAGTGGCTTGAGCATTGGCCTGCTAAACCGAGGGTTGAGGGGGCCATTTAGGGATCTGGGGCAAAATCTGTCAGGATGGTTCTTGGTCCTGCCACGAGGGCAGGGGACTGGACTCGATGACTCTCAAGGACCCTTCCAGGCGTATGAGATAGGTACAGCTCCATATATTACATTATTATAAGTGACCTGAACAAGAGCAGAAAGGCCACTCCTCCAGACCAGCATCTTTCCACGAGGCTTGGAAAACAGCAATGACTCGTGAAAGCACGTCCCAGGTCGCAGGCTGTAGCCCTGCAAATGTCACTTACCCCAGGATTGCAGCTGATGCTGCATGAGCTCTGACAGGCATGACGATTACCACTTGTACCTGGAGCTCTTCAAGATGGATTCTGCATATTCCACTCATGGGACATATTGAGTGATCCGGGCATGAGTAGCACTGTACTGAAAAGGCTAGCCAGCTTAGCCATTGTATACATTGTCTTTTGGAAACCACAAAGGTTATTGAGACTTGCAGCATTAGGAAGCAAGCACAAAACAAAGGTCTCCCCCTCTGGGAACTGGTTATCCTAGGAGCTTTGATTTCTTAGATCAGTGGGAATTCTACCAGAGCTAAAACACAGAATTTAGCCGAGTGAAGCCAACGTTTGTTTCTACTCAGTTTGTGCTGCTAAACCACAGCATAAATGCAACAATCCCCAGACAGACCATGCTCAGAAAAGCAGCCCCATGATGAGAGTAGATTCCCCACCTCCCACTCTAATAGTTACATCAGATGCTTCCACAACAGTTTAGGGAGTGTCTCAAAAATCAACTAATACAGCCAGGACTATACTAAAGCCGGAAGGTCGGCTTAAGGTAGCAACTCCAGCCACATAAATAATGGAAATAACGTGGCTGGAGTTGATGTACCTTAAGACAGCGGGGGATCGATGGGAGCAAACATTCCCGTCGGCTTCCCTTACTCCTCATGAATCACAGAGTATCGGTGCTGCCCTCAGCATTGGATTTAGCGGGACCTTACCAGACCCGCTAAATCGAATGCCAGAAGATCAGTCTCCAGCATGGTAAGTATAAATGCGGTCTAAGTATTTGGCATTTAAACTTCATGAAAACTATGTGATGTTACATGCATCGTTTTTGCTTATCTGTATCCTGTTCTGACGTAACAGCAAATATTTACCCTGTAATACCTCTAACTAAACAGCCCATCAAATGCGAAAGAAGCTTTGTATAAAGCAAACAAAGATTTTTAGCAAGAAAGTACTTATTCATGTGCATTCAAAGCCAAGTGGTCACTTTGTGTCATGATCAGCAACCCAAGACCCTAAATACACCCTGGGTGGTGGCCCTATCAGCTTGCTTTCTAGAAGTTATAAGCATGGATCCAGGGAAAAATCCTGTATCTCTGGGCTATTTGGACTCTTTTAGGGAAGGGCCTCAGGCCTGGTCTACACTGGCAGAGAAAATCAATGCAAGATACTCAACTCCAGCTACAGGAAGCGCTGATAAAAGCGCCCTCAGCATTTGATTTAGCTTGCCTTTACTAGACCTGCTAAACTGAACCTCAGAGGATCGATTGCCAGAGCGTCAATCCTCTGGTAAGTGGAAACATGGCCTCAGATGCAAAGTGGAGATTCCCAGGGAATCTGGGTACCTCAAAAAGACTTTGGGAAACTAGTAATTTGTTACATCATTGCCACCATTTGGAATTCTAGACTGTGATTCACCTGTGTATATATTTTATCTGCTTTAACATCTCACTAACTCTCACTTCCTTTTCTTAGCTAATAAACCTGGAGTTAGTTTACTACAGACTGACTACTTGTGTTGTCTTTAGTGTGAGATCTAGAAAGCAACATGACAGGGAGCGTGACTCTCTTTTTTGGTATGAATGGCCATTTATCACTATCTGCAGTTTGTCTGGGTAACAAGACAGACTGGAGAGTCTAAGGGGACTGTCTGTGATTCCACAGAAGGTATTGCCTTGGTGAACTCTAATTACAGAGCACACCGCCAGCTGAGGTCTCGGCCCTACTTTGATGTAGTCTGCCCAGAGGTAGGCACTCCTGGTTGTGAGCCACTCCCCACCGCATGACAGGTTATGCGTGATACAGCTGAGGTCAGACTCTCAAGCAGAGATGAAAGTGAAATTAGTCCTGGAAGGAAACCACATAGCTGACTTTGGAGGTGGAGGTCAGAAGATCCTCAGGACGAAGTGTCCCATTTTTGCCTTTTGTCTGGAGGAGAAAACTGAGGAGGATGCTTCTCAATTAATCTCTCTTATTCTGGGTGAGGAACTATTCAGACCTGTGGTGCCCTGTAGATCCACATGAACTGGAGCCATCACCATGCTAGAAAGAACTGGAAGATATGAAATGCTCAATCTGGATGGCTTCTTTGGATAGTTTACATTGGTGTGATCCAGAGCTATTCTGGTTTTAGGCTGTGGCCCCTTAGCCAACTGTGGCCCCATGCTGAATTCACAACCCCAGGGATCTGATGACTCTGAAATGGGAATTCTTTTCCAGCTCCAAGAGACGTCTCATCTTGGCCTTCTGATTGCCTGGACTCAATGTCCTCAGGTCCAACATGATGTCAGGGGGTTAAGACCTCTGTGTGGAGCACTCTGTCAAGGGCTTTGCCTGTCTTTCAATGGGGCTGAAGGTTTAGCTCCTGAACAGTTGAGTGCCTTAGAACAGGAGCTCAGTGCAGAGCCAGATGCTTTTGGCATAATTGACTTCCTGATTGGAAATGCCTGGACCTGATTCAGACCAGCCGTTCTTTCCCTCGGGTGATTTTGATTCCCTCAGATCTCCAAGAGACAACAGTCAAAACTTCCTGTGGCTTGAAATCTTTTGTATCTCCTGCTGGATGTGGGGAGTAAATGTGGTGCAGACAGCATAGCACAAAGAAAGCTGCCTTTTCTTTAGTCATTTGAAGCACCTGGGGTGGGCATCTGAAGCTGGGAAGACCATGGAGCATCACACGTATCTTTTAAAGCCGCACTTCTCGGTCTCTGGACCCCACCAGGTACTGGTACTGTCAAGAAACTCTAAAACCGTGGTCCCCAACCCGGTGCCTGTGGGCGCCATGGCGCCCGCCGGGCTCTTTACATGCGCCCGCGGAGCAATCTGGGCTGGCAGGTGCCAGCCCCGGGTGCGCCGCGCATACCCTTGCCGGTTCCGGCTCCGGCCTTGGCCCCGCGGCACTTACGGGGGGGGGGGCACCGGCCCCGGGCGCTTGCCAGGGGGCGCCTTCCCCGGGCACGCGGCTATGGGGGGGGGGCAAGTGTCCCCGCCCCCGACGCCCGGCGGGCGAACGGCCACGCCCCCTGGCGCCCGCCAACCTGAAAAGGTTGGGGACCACTGCTCTAAAACCTAAAGTACAGTGAACTACCGACTCACCAAACTGAACTGCCCGACTACACAGAGAATAAAGGCCCTTCTGAAAGTTCTTCCAGAGCCACAAGATCTGGGGAAGGCCCGGTCTGTCCGAGAGCTGTGCTTGGAAGGGAATGAGGCGGAGGAGCTAATCCACTTCTTTCCCTTGTATCTAACACAACTTAGTGCTGTGTCTGAACTGAAGTGACTCTTAGCTGCACTTAAAGTAGTGAACCGTGCTTCTGCCTCTTTACAGGAGCAACAAACTGGATTACTCCTGAGTATCCCCGGAGAGGCCTGGGCTGCTCAGGTCAGATTGTTCTGGGGTGCATGGGGCAGGGGCTGTGTTGGGGTCACCCGACAAGCAGTAACCAAGGCTGGGGAAGGCCAGGTTGGGGGCTGCAGAGAGCTGACCCAGGGCCACATAGCACACAGGGCACTGCCGGTTGCTGTGGAGGCTGAGTGCTGCAGCAGAGCAGGGTTACAGGACAAGTGGCGTCATGGCCTCTCATTGGCCATGGTGGAATGTGAAATGTGACAGCTCCTACTAATGAGTCGATAACATCAAAGCAAATACCCCACCCAGCCCCCACCCGCCTGGGTTTCCTGTCTGCTACACATCTGCCTTAGAGACGGAAAGCCCGCTGAGGCAGAGGAAACCTCTCTTTTGGATCTTGGACACCACCACTTACAGTATCAGCAAGGAAAAAACAAGAAACAGCAGCCCACATGGAGCGCGGCCCAGGCTGTCTGTGCCGGCAGACGCATGGCTGGGATGACGTGGAAGGATGCTCAACACCGTGTCACTCAGGGTACGTCTACACTACAACGTTAATTCGAACTAACTTAGTTCGAATTAGTTAATTCGAACTAAGCTAATTCGAACTAACGGATCTAGACTAAAAAACTAGTTCGAATTAGCGTTTTACTAATTCGAACTAGCACGTCCACACAGAGTGGACCCTGAACCAGGCTTAAGGATGGCCGGAAGCAGTGCCGGCAGAGCATCAGAGGAGGACTTAGAGCGTCGAGATGCTGTCTCAGGCTAGCCGAGGGCTGCGCTTAAAGGGTCCCAACCCCCACCCTGGACAGACAGTTCTCAGGGGTGCCCCGCT